CTGGGGTTACCCTGTTATGCTGTTCGCTAAGCCTATGCTGGAGGCCTTCCTCCTAGGTGAAACTCCCTTTTAAGGAGGTATGTTTTTTATACACTCGAATAACAATCCCCACTTTGGAGAACTTCCAATACGCATTGTCCGTATACCTTGTACTATAGCCAAGAGAGATATAATGAGGTCCCAGTTTATTTAGACAAAGCTTTGATAACCAGAATCAACTATTCTTTCCTGGCCCAAGGCTTACAGGGCAGCCAAAAGTCTGCAGGAATGAATACACTTATAAAACACAGAGCTTGGGAGAACTTGGAAAAACTGTCACCTGTAAGACTGCACAGACATGTCCTGGCTGAGTCATCTGAGTTATAGGAGTGAACTTTTACTCAAAGACTGTGGCTGCAGTGGGTGGACAGACTCATGATGGGGGATAGACAACACTTAGGCACTTAGGGAAAGTCAGTGTTGTTTTCCCGTGGTGTCTGTGGTGGGAACACAGGGAGAAATGCTGCAGGGAGGCTCGCTTCATTTGAATAATTTTTCTCATGTTCTGCCCTGTTGTGTTATTTACCTTAGGCAGTTTTCTTAAGTAACTGTGATTCTTCAAGAGAACTGCTTTTGGAAGTAACTAAGCAGAGAGAACTTGAACCTCATAGTTCACGAAAAATTGAGACAAAACCTTCAGATCTCAGACCGCCAGCTGCAGCCTGAAAATTGGCACAGGAAAATTTAAATGCAATAGTCCTCACTTATCCACAATTGCTGTTGCGCACAGTTCAGTGTGACCCAAAAATATCAATGATAAAATCCAGAAATAAACAGTTCATAACCTTTAAATCACACAGTGTTATAAGCAGTGTGATAAAATTCCCATTCACTCTGACCAACTGCATCTCATCCAGAACATGAATCATCCCTTTGTCCAGAGTTTCCTCCCTATATATGCCACCCACCCTGTGGTCGCCTGGTAGCCCACCTCAGTTATCCAATCCTCTGTCGTGGTTTTGCAGAATTTCTATTCAGGGTTTCAGATATCCACTAGAGGCTTTACAATGCATCACCTGAAGGTAAAGGATGACTTTGAAGTTCATAATTATACAAAAAAATGAGAAGCAGTCTAAATTGACCAGAAATTAGTAGAAAATATGGCAAGGGAACAGACAGGGTGACCAGATGGCAGAAGACAACTGTGGAATCTTCATTTCCATTCATTCTCTTCCCCACCCAATCTTCTTGAGCTTCAGGAAATGGCATAAAGACTGGCATAAATTGATCACGTCATAAGGGCGTATTTTAAACTGATTACTTTCTAGTTCTCTGAAAGATTACCATGAATAACCATGCATGCCCACCCTTCTGTAGATCTCAGTTCTCTCCAAGTGTGCACACATGCTGAAAGGATCCATTCACATGTAGACTCTTGCATTATCTCCATCCTGATCCAACTCACCACCCATTTCCCAGCTCCCCGTCCACTCAGCATTATCCTGGTTAATCCTGGTTTGTGGTCTGTGAGCTCCGTGAGTCCTCAGTTTCTTCTCCACCTCTCAATCTCTTGCTTCTTCCTCAGCCAGTAGAAACCTGGATAGCCCCTGATATTCTTACACTTTTGTGACTCTAGCTTTTGTATTTTCCCCAGAAAACCACAACTTCCAGGACCAAGAAATAGGAGTCTTTCTTCTCCCTATTGCTTCTTGACAACAGTGGTTCTTGTTTCCTGTCTTTTTATTCGTCGCTGAGACAAAATACCTGAAGCCCAAGTTGGGAAAGGAAAGGTTTATTTCTTACAGTTTTTGGAGATTTCAGTCCACACTCAGTTGGCTCCAAGGCAGGTGAGCATGGCTGGGCCGCAGTTCATGGCGGCTGCAAACAGCAAGCAGGAATCAGCCAAGAGCAAGACACACCTTCTTCCTGCCATTACATCACATCCTGGCTCCACCCCTTTGTGGGTGGAGCACTGACCCCATCAATCCAAGCACTAGACAATGAACCAATCACAAATGCACAATGCAAACTCATGAGGCCTGGGGGACACAGACATAAACCATGATACTTCCAAAGTTCAAACTTCATATATGGAAAGACTCAGCTGTTTTTGGTTTCATCTCTCCATATTTAATATGAAGGATTTACACCAAATATTAACAAGACAGTGTTTGTACAAGAGATGTAGTGATTTTTATTTTGTGTATATTATTATTTTGATGACTATGCATTACTTTCATTCACGTTTCTTATTTTTTAAATTTAATTTCTTCTTGCTACCATTTTTGGTTTTGATTCTGTTTTACTAACTTTACGAGTAAGATGATTCCTTTTCAGCTTTTTGTGTTTTTTCTATTGTAAGCATCTGCATCTCATCTGTATTGTTGAACTCTAAATAGTTCATGTGATTTCTCCATAACTACTTCTTATGGTTAATTTATAAGAACAGGAATTTTTAATCTGCATTTCTTAAAATTAGTTTTAATTTAAATGCATTCTGGTTAAGGAATATATTCAATTATCAACTATGTAGCATTCTGTAAACTGACCTTGAGGCGCTCAAAAAATTGGGCGGGCCTAGGGATATGTTGTATATTTACAAACAGACATTAGAGCATAATTGTTAACAATCACATCTTTCCTTTTCTTGATTTATTAGTTTCTGATAGAGATGTCTTGGTACTTACTATTGCAAATATGAATGTGTTCACTTTCTTTATAGTTCTATTCATTGTTTCTAGTATATCTTGAGTCTACCACTGGACTAAAATACTGTAGTCTTCTTGTGACTGCCTTTACTTATCACTATGTAATAATCTTTTTCATCCACACTAATGCATTTTGTCCTAAAATCAGTTTTTCCTGATAGTAAGTCACTAACTGAATTTTGTTGTGTTCACTTTTTTTTTTTAACTTTTTAACTTTTTTAACACTGTGTCTTAAATAAATATTTAGGTCAATCTATCAAGCCAGCAATCAATAATTTATCTTGTAAATAATATGTAACTAGAATTATTTGATCCAACTTGAAAATTTTTCTTTTAATTAATAATTTACTCTACTTATTGTGATTATTGGTACATTTGGTATTATTTCCATCATTTTACTGTACATTTACTATTCCATGTCTTTCTTTGTTTTGTTTTTTAGCTTCTCCTACCTTCTCTTAAATGCATTATATCTTTCTCACTCCTTTTTGCCCTCCTGAAAAGTATATATTTTACTTCATTTTTTAGATATCTAAAATTCCCATTTGACATTTTAAGAAATAAAGATTTCAATCCTTTACATAGAAAGAGTTTAATTCTGATCTCCCTTTCCTATCAGTCATTTTATATGTAATAAATTAATTTTTCCTTGTCCTTAACCCTTTCCTTCAAAGTAGTCCCTTGTTGAGACATTATCAGCATGTTAATCAATTTTTCATACATTAACTCCAAACCTTCTGTATCCTAGTCCTATCTTGCTTTCATGTTTTAGTAACTATTTTAGCAAGGGTCAGTGAGAGTCTTTTAGAAAATGTTTGCTTTTATCCTCACTGTTGAATGTTTAGATATAGAATTCTAGGATAATAATTGTACCTATTCAGTGCCATAATTAAATTATGTTCTGACATTATTTTTTAAAAAATCTTCTATCTAGTATTTTTCTTCTAGAGATATTCTTATGATTTTGAGAGATTTTTTTCTTTGACATTCAGTTTTCCCTTAGTACATGTCTAGGTGATTATGTTTTGCACTGTGACGCATTGGCAGCTCAGGAGTGTATGATTTAATTTCCATGTGTTTATGTAGTTTTTGTGATTTCTTTTGCCGTTGATTTGCAGTTTCAAACAATATGCATAGAATAGCATCAATTCCTTTACATTTACTTAAGTGTGTTCTATGTGCTAACATGTGGTCTACTTTGGAGAATGTCCCATGTGCAGCTGAAAAGAATGTATATTCTGATGTTGTGGGGTGGAACACTTTGTAGACATCTACTAAGTCCATTTGTTCTCAGATTTCTTTTCATTTTGATATTTATTTGTTGACGTTTTTTGTCTGGTTTATCTATGTAACTGTGGAAGTAGGGTGTTAAGTTCCTGCATCCCAACTGTGTTGGTGCTTATTTAATTTTTCATATCCATTAACATTTTTTATGTAGTTGAGTATACCAATGTTTGGTGCATATATATTTATGATTATTATCTCTTCTTGGAGGCTTCTCTTAGCAAATATGTAGTGATCATTTCACATTGTCTGTGAGTAGAGTAGCTGTGTCTGCTTTTTTCTGGGATCCTGTCACATGGAGTATTTTTTTCCATCCTTTAACTTTTAGTCTATGAATTTTCTTTTTCAGTTAAATGTGTTTCTTCAATGCAGTATATTGTTGGATCTTGCTTTTTGATCTATTCTTCCAGTTTATTTCTTTTGATTGGTGAGTTGGATCCATTTATGCTAATGGCTACAACTGGCTAATTTTTTTCATGTTATTTTCCTGTTGTTGGTTCCCTGTCTTTCTCTTCTGATTAATTGCTTGCCCTCTTTTGTAGCTTCTTTCTATGGGTGTTCTTGTAGTTGTGGTCTTCATGTTCTCTTTCTAATATATGTGGCAATACATTCTGAAGAGTTGGGTTTATGGACATGATTTCCTCAGGTGTTCTTTGTCATGGAAATATTTGATTTCTTCATCAATTTTGAAAAGTGGTTGTGTGTTAGGGTTGGAGATGTAGTTCAGTGGCATGAGTGACTGACTGGCAAGTGCAAGGTGATGAGTTCAATCCCTGGTGCCAAATAGAAAGAAAGAGAGAAAGATATAGAGAGCCAAGCGACAGCCCATCGCTGCCTCCCTGCCTCTCTCTCTCTCCTATGGGCACTGCGTCTGCCTACATTAACCATAATCCTCTCCTGCTTACATCACATACCCGGACATGATGGTGACCCTGTTGTATTCATCCCCATAGCCTCTTCCTGTCCCACCTCCTGCCCTTGGCATATAAAAGATGTAATCACTTCCAGAATAAACTGGGGGCTTGATTGGATTTTTTTGACTTGCTTCCATCTCTCTTTGTCTCCCCTATGTCTTTATTTAATCCCCGTTCCACCTCCAGGTACACCCCACAGATTGATCCGCAGGCCAGATCAAGTGGTGCTCAGCGTGGGGGCTCCTGGCACGGAGGAGTCAACGAGGGAGCCGGCTTAAACTGAAAGTGAAAGCAAATTGAACCAAAGACCGCGGCGGCGAGGAGTGAGCAAACTGAATCAAGGATTAAAGCTAAAAGCAATAGGACATTAAATCAAGTACCAAGACCTGTGCAGACGACTACCCGGGGTCCCGCCCGAGTCGTGGTGAGTGAACGGTGACCCCATTCCCTTTCCCAGACATAGGTCAAGCATTGAATGAACACGAAGTGTTCATGGGAGGCCTTATAAAGGCATGAAAGACAAGAGGGGTAAGGGTTAGAACAAAAGAATTATTGCAGTATTTTCAATTTATCCATAAGGTTTGCCCTAGAGGGTTCTATAGATACTAAGAGGTGGAAAAGAGTAAGAGATGCTTTAAAAGATTATTATAGAGTTTTTGGTCCGGAAAAAGGTTCTGGTGACCACCTTTGCATATTGGAATTTAATCTCTGAGCTGCTTGCCCAGAGGCATGCAAATCCTCAGATTGAGGAGACGGTCGCACAAGGCCTTATAGTGCTCCTAAGATAGCGCCTGCCTCCAGCAGGCCTCATGGTGCTCTTAAAATGGCACTTGCTTCACTTCCGCCACATCAGCGTGGGTCCCTCCCCAAAACTGCATTTCTGGTGATGGGAACAAATGTACCTCCCCAAGATGGCGCTGCACAGCCGCAAGACAGCGTGAGTTCCACGAGTCGTTAGGACTCATACGCCATTCACAGTGGCAGCTTTAAAAGAATTAAAGACAGCAGTTGCCCAATATGGCCTTACAACTGCTTTCACTCTTGCTGTTTTAAATTCTCTGGCTGACAGCTGGCTCACACGATTGGCAAAGATTGGCCCGAGTGACTTTATCGGGTGGAGATAATCTTTTGTAAAAATCAGAATATACAAAAAATTGCAAAGAGCCGGCCAGGCACAATACACAAGCCAGCAATAGGTGAGACCTTAATAGGTTAATAGTAAAAGATGCCTATGCATGCAGAGAAGCTAAAAAGAGTTTAATCCAACACTTTTCCGCTCAAATTCAAACAGCAGCTACTCGAACATGGAAAAAGCTGCCTGCAAAAGATAATATGAGCTCCTCTCTCACTAGCATTAAGCAAGGCCCAGATAAACCCTTTTCAGAGTTTGTTGATTGTTTGATTGCTGCTGCTAGCGGAGCCTTTGGCCACACTGATGCAGGCACTGATTTTGTTGAACAGCTGGCTTTTAAAGGTGCCGGCACCATCTTCCAGGCCGCTATCAGACCTCGTAAAAATAGAACAGGCCTGACAGAATATATACACCTTTGCTGTGACTGCTGCCTTGCAGGGGTTTGCAGTTGGACAGTTCTTGTCTCAAAAGCATGAACAGGACTGTTCTGCCTGTAGAGAGACTGGTCATTTTACAAAAAGACTCCAGAGGTGGAGATTCCAATGTCAATTACTTTAACTCATTTAACTGATCGGAGTGATATTGGTCTGGTCTCTTAAGTTTAATTTCAGCATATGTAAGGATGGGGACAGCTGCTAAAAGGAGAATGAGAGACACTATGGTAGTTATTATTGTCTTCCCCAATGTCAGATCTTAAAAACCTGAGAAGCCTTCATCATCCTGCAGTGATTTGATTAGTTCTATAATATGCAGTATGTATTTAATGTGCATGAAAATGGGGACAACTGTTTGGAGGAAACTAGAGACAATTGGATAAACAGTAAGATCTCCAGTAGACTTGCTTTAAAATCTGTATTTCTTTAAATCTTTTTTAAAACTGTTTTGTTCTGTTTTGATATGTTTGGTCTTGCCCTCTTTGAGATAAAAAACAAGTGTGTAGGACTGATAACCATATTACTAAGTTTTTGTTGGATCATTGAGCAGAACTGTTGGCATTGTCACTGTTTAAATGTCACTTTACATGCTTTGACTTTGTGGCCTGGACAGCTATTTCTAAGATGACAGTATGTAACTTACTAACTGTTGATTTCCTACCGTTTATTTTTCTGTAATTCTGTATTAAGATCACTAGAAAACAAGCCAGACAGATAGTAAAAAATTGCCTTTCTTGTGCCATGCACCTCCCAATTCCAAGAGTTAATCCTAGAGGACAGTCCTTAATGCATTATGGCAAATGGATGTCACCCACATTCCTAAGCTTGGCAATCTTAAATATGTTCATGTAACTATAAATATCTTTAATGGTTTCATTTATACCTCTCCCCAGACTGGCAAAGCTACCAAACCTTATTAGCCATATGTTAACTACCTTATCAGTTTTGAGATGCCCACAACAATTAAAGACTGATAATGGTCCAGACTATGCTAGTTCTGCCTTTGCTCATTTCTGTCAACATCTTAACATTGATCATATAAAAGACATACCTTATAACTCTCAAGGTCAAGACATAGTTAAAAGGACACATCTTTTCCTAAAATTCACTGTTGATAAAATAAAAAGGGAAAATGGTACTCTACGAGGACACCTAAAAATATTCTATCCCATGCCTTATTCATCCTTTATTTTTTAAATTTGGATGCTTCTGGACAGTCAGCAGCCATGCGTTTTTGGCATTCTAAAACACAAAAGCAATTTGCTTCAGTACTATAGAGAGACCTCCTGACTAATTCACAGCATGTCCCTGATCCCATTCTCATATGGGGACGCAGCTCAGTGTGTATTTACTCTCAACAAGATAGAGAAGCTAGATGGCTACCTGAGTGCCTCGTAAAACAAGTAGACAGTTCTTCAAAGACCCCATGCAATGCCCAGGAATAATGTCATTTCCCGAGGATCAATCCCCTGTGTTCTCTTACAGGTGACACAACCCCCCGGAGCCTTATGCTGCCTACTCAGCCTTCTCCTTGAGCCATACCACACCCATGGTGGATTTCGACCCCTGCCAAACAGACTACAACTGCTGACAGCCCTGCACACCATCCCCTGTGACCGTGGAAGAGGCTCTTCTCAGTCTGGGGGAACATAAACCAGCCAAATAGACTGCGTCCTGTGTTATGTGAGGCATACTCCAAGACATAGGAGAACGACTTCAACAGAGACACCAACAAATGGCTGCCAACCCCTTCTCCTCGATATGTGGTGGGGGGAGCTTTTCCCTTACCTAGCGCCCCTTTTGGGTCCCCTAGCTGCCCTATTGCTTCTCCTTTCTGTGAGTCCTTGTATTTTTCAGAGGATTATAATGCTCATTAATAACCGGATAGACGCGTTTATGGCAAGGCCCATTCAAGTACACTATCATCAGCTGGAGATGGCAGATCAACAAACCTACCAGGAAGGAATTCCCACGAGTGGCCCATATGACGATGCGGCCTAACTGCCCTCGGGCAATGGACAGGCAGTCAGAGACGGGCACCTAGGACATGCATGTTAACTCCAACAGCCACCTAAGACAGGCACAGGACCAACTGCTGAGCCCATGATGGGTAAGGCCTGGTTGGGTTCATGCAATGAGGTCCTTGATCTAAGACAAACGCTGTCCGGCAGGGCCTGCCATACTCTTGATTAAATAATATAGAAAGGGAGGAGATGCAGGGAGCCGAGCGACAGCCCATTGCTGCCTCCCTGCCTCTCTCTCTCCTATGGGCACTGCGTCTGCCTACATTAACCATGATCCTCTCCTGCTTACGTCACATACCCAGATGTGACAGTGACCCTGTTGTATTCATCCCTTTAGCCTCTTCCTGTTCCACCTCCCGGCCTATAAAAGATGTGAACACTTCCTGAGTAAATGGGGGCTTAATTGGATTATCTCAACTTGCTTCCATCTCTCTTTGTCTCCCCTATGTCTTTATTTAATCCCCGTTCCGCCTCCAGGCATACCCCACGGATTGATCTGCAGGCCAGATCAGAAAGAAAGAAAGAAAATTTATTTTCTTTTGGAGCTTGAAATACCTCACTTAAAAGTCTACTTGATTTGAGGGTTCATATTTGTATGAACTGTGTCTCTTCACAATGCTGTGATTTTGATGGACTATTTTTTTCTTTTTAGGTGATTTGTTTTTTTCTCTAACTGCTTTAAATATTTTATTCTTGTGTAGAATTTCTGGAAACTTGATTATTATATGCCTTAGATTTATTTTGCCCATGGCTGCCTGGAGTTCTATAGGCTTCATTTATTTGCATGTCAAATTCTTTGTCCATGCTTGGGAAGTTTTCTGCCATTATTTCTGTAAAGAGTTTTTTATGGTATTTGTGTTGTCTCCCGCTTTCTCACTGACCCCAGTTAAACTTCCCTGTTCTTCTTTGCTTCATCTTGTAGTGATTGGATAGATTATTTTTCATAATCTCTTGCAAGTTTTAAGATATCTCTCTTTTAATGATTACAAGCCACAATTCTGTCTTCAAAATCTAATGATACATCTTCATTCAGCCTGTTATATATACTTTCAGTGGAGTTTTTAATCTCTTGAATTTCTCTTTGGAGTTTTTCAAGGATTCCACTGGATCGCTACATACCATTTTGATCCAAAGTTTTATGTCTCAACTCCAAATCTAGAAAATTCCCTGCTGTTTTCTCTTTAAATACTACTTCTCTTTCATTGCCTTTGTTCTTGCCCTTTAGGATGATTTTACATATATGCTAAGCCTTTTCACTCTCTTCTGACCTCTTCTTTATGATTTTAACCTCTTCATATCTCTGTGATGCATTCAACCTAGTGTTCTCAGATTTTTCTGTCATCTAAGTCAAGTAGACTTTCACTGATGTCTTATTCATTTGTTCAGTTCAGTCACTATATTTTTACTTCTTAAAGTTATAATTCCTTTTTTAAACCTAATTGATTTCCAGATTACCTTCATTATTTCACTCCTTTTTCTTTTGATAATTTTAAGCACAGTTACGTGATAATGTCATAGATTTTTCTCTTTCCCAAATATTATGATACTATCACTCCTGTTTATAGTATTTCCTTTTTCAAAAACTATACTGTTGTCTCACATAATGATGTTTCAGTGATAGAATGCACACATGATAGTCATCCCATAAGATTAATGGAGATGAAAAGTCCTATCATCAAGAGACATCAAAGTCTTTATAGTAAAATATTGTGTATTTGTGGTGACACTGATATAAACATATCATACTGTCAGTCATATAAAAGTGTAACACAATCGTGTACATTACATAATACATAAGGATGATTATAAATGACTACATTACTGGCTTACATATTTACTGTTCTACAGTTTAACTATTAGTTTATAGAGTGTATCCCTGCTACCCATAAGAAAAGTTCACTACACAGGAAAGAAACTACTCAAAAGAAAAGAACAACTGGGGTAGGAGAAAAAAGAAAAAGAAACATTTATATATATGAATACATATATAAATACACAGGTTAGATAACTATCCTACTAATTTCTGTTAGTTCATCAAAAAGAATAGTTTGTGTTTTCATTGTTCAATTGTTTGATCATTTTTCATGCCTATATCTTGTAATCCGAACAACTACTTTGAAGATAACAGTACACAATATATGAACTAGTATTAATCTCCTAAAAAGTAAAAGTTCACTTTAACATAGTATGCCATGTTATAGCAGAAGTCTCATACATCTCGTGTCTTTTGATGATATGTTTCTTTTGTTCCTTATTTAATTTCATTTTTTATTCATCATGGAAATATATAATCTTCATATACACACATATACATGTATATATAGATCAGTATATCTATATATCAGTATACATGTATACATCTATATATTAGTACATATATTAGTATATATATATATAGATAGATAGATAGATAGATAGATAGATAGATAGTAGGGTATACTCCCTATGTTTGCATGAGTACAGTGTGTAGTGTTCACATAATAATTAAATCATCTAGCAATTCAAATATATCCCTTCTGTAGCCAATACATGATTGCATTTCAGTGTCTGGCTACTACACATTTGGCATTTTTCTTCAAACTTGAAATACACCAGTAAAAAGAGCAAAGTTCCCTGCCTTCATGGTATTGCATACTAGAGAAGGAAGAGAAACAATATATAAAACACAAAAGATATAGTATGTCAGATCATAGCAAAGTTAAAGAGACAGTAAAACAAGAAAAATAGAAGAAAGACTGCAATTTTTAAAAAATAACATCATGGAAGAGGCTCAGGTAAGGTAACCCTGAAGTTTTCTACAAGAGGAATGATCATGAAGAGGGGACCATAAGTGTAAAAACCTTACCGTAAGCTGATGGCTGGCTTGTCGCAACAATAATTATGCCATTGTGAATGGAGGAGAGAATGCTGGGGGATGCGGGGATGTGACCAAACAGTAGGTCAGGTAATGAAGGGTGTCAGAAACTGTGAAATGTCTTTGGCTTTTACCTTAAGTAATATTAGAAGATATTGAAGGGCTTTAATCAGAGTAGTAGCATAATTTGTTTTATATTGTTAAAAGATGACTCTGGTTGCTTTCTTGAGGATAGATTTAAATTGAGTAAGAACAAAATTAGGGAGACCTCGAGAAGCTATTACAACAATCCAGTAAAAGGATGATGGGATTTGGACCAAGAGAATAACTGTGGGTCCGTGAGATGCAGTTGAAATTTGGACATATCTTGTAGATAAATTCCACAGGATTGGCTGAAAAGTTTGCTGTGGGATGTGAGAAACATATAGAAGATTATCTATCTCATCATTCCAAGGCAAACCCAAAGTTTTGGCCTGAATTGTTGAAAGGATGAAGTTACCACTTATTGCAGGGAGAAAGAGTTTGGGGAAGATCAGAAGAATATTTTCCCACACATTATATTAATTATCCACTGCTACATAGCAAAATTAGCCTCAAAATTTGGCAACTTAAACAACAAGACTTTATTATCTCATAATTTCTAAGGTTCAGGAATCTGACCTCACTTTACTGGGGAAAGGGGGGGGGTCCTGTATCAGCTGACTCATGGGAAGACAGTTGAACTTCTACCAAAGCTGCAAGGATCTGAAAGTGTGACATGAGAAAAATCCACTTCAAAGGCCGCATGCCCGTCACATTCACGCTGTATACTGGCTTAAGACTCCAACTCCTCTCCACAGAGACTGACTGAGGGTCAAGACATAGGAGCTTGTGTCTCCAAAAACAATCAATCCAACAGACAGCAAGAAGATCAAGGGTGACTAAAGGAGAGGACATAATATTTTTTACAACTGAACCTCACAGGAGACTCTGTACAACTTTTGTCACATTGCATCAACCACACAGATGAGCACTGACCCCAGTGTGGAAGGGGCTACACATGGGTTTGAATGGAAGAAGCTGGAGATACTTGAGGGCCTTCTTGGGGACTGGCCTACCCACATTTAAGACACCTATCAGACTCCCTAGTGGGGCTATCGGGGAGGTTATCTGGCATTGAGAAGCACCTGGAATTAGGAAGATAATGAGGTATAAATATAGAAATTAACAGTATAAAGGGGTTCATTAATACTAGAGGATATCACCTAGCAAGTTGAACACACATATTTTTCTTTTTAAAATGTATATGCAAACTCCCCCTCAGAAGGGTCATTCTTCATTTCCCCCTTTTGTGATCTGAGTTGGAAAGGTAATCCCCAAGGAGCAGAACTGAGTCTGTTTACATTGACGATCAAAACTTTTTGTTCTTTCAAGAACAGGTTTTAATGTTAATATTTTTGGCCCAGTATTCTCACACAAGCAGATGGAGTTAATCCGTGGCCTGAGGTTTGTGTTTCCCAAAGGTGATTTTGTGTTTCCATGACCCAAGCATCCAGGTCTCTTGCTACCTCCACAAGACTAGTAAGAAAAGTAATTTTTACAAAGAAGCAGTCATTAGAGGCTCCAGGCATTGTACCAGGAGGTCTGCCCTAGGAGGCTCGAGGTCCTCTCTCTGTCCAAGGCGGATCATCCATCAGCAGCCCTCAGCTCTGGAATCTCTGTGTAGGACTCACAACCTCAGAGGCAAAAGCAACACCAGCTCGCACTGTCCTGGACTAGACTTCTCTCTTAGTTTCTCACGCCTGTGATTTCCACCTCTTTCTTTTGACTTGGGTGGGGATTACAAAATAGCATTTGTGATTATTCGTCCTGCACTTCTCTGTGTTTGTGATAAGAGCTGTCTTGGCCCAGTCGGGTAGATCTCTGCCACTTTGTTGGGAAGTTATATGTACATTGGTTTTCTATCAGGAAAAAATAAAATGATATTATTTTGCCAAGCTTGATACAACATTTGCTGTTTCTTACTCTCCATTAAAATTCTACTATTCATCTTCTCCATATCTTTGCAGGGACCTCCTAAAGGCTTCCCACCCAAAAACGAACATTTCAAAAGTTAGCTTCTCACAATTCCTTCCTTTTGTGGCCTAGAATTAAGTGGCAGTTCTTCTCTCTGAGGCAACGCAAAACCGAAACAAGCAACACAAAACATGCAGGAAATCTTCAAAAGGCACAAAGTGCGATCAAAATATACAGTGAATGTTTACATTTTACAGGTGTATTACAGTAAAAGCCACATTGCCCGTTAATCCCTTGTAAGTACGACTCTTTGATTACCCCATCATCAATTCCACGTCCTGAAACTGTTTTGGAAGTCTTTTCTTGTGAGTACAGTCAAACCTACAGTGAATTCTGCTGCCTAGTGCCACCCGATAGAAAGGCACATCGATATAACCATCGATGTTCTCCTTCCCCTCCACCGAATCGACCAATCCTCTTCCATTCCCCAAAAAGTCTACCTCATCTCTCTTTCATTTTGCTCTTTAAATTAGTTTTATTTTGAGGTCTTCAGAGAAGACAGACTATG